TTAATAAACTGAATGCAATATTTAGTATCTTCATATACTATCTATTGTTGCCTCTGTCTTAAAATCCCAAATCACTTAGTATTTTGTTAAGTCTTGTGTAGACTTTGTATAGAATCTGTCAAGTTATAGTCGTTATACTATAATTGAGCAGCTTCTGATATCACTGTAGTTAAAGAAAAAACTACAGGTTAACAATATCACTAAAATAACAATTAGCCTGATGTGCAAAATAAGGAATAAACATTTTGTCATGCATTTCATATCTTAAACAATGACAAGCTGCTATATATGATCTAGCTAAATCAGTTACAAGACAGTTTGCTCTTATATTTAATTTTTTTGTTTTTTCAAAAAGATTCTGAATTCTAAAAATTACTTCTTCTTTCTGTTATCTTTCAATACTAATATCTTTTGCTTCTCAGATTAAGTTTCTTTTAAGGATGTAACAAATACAATGCCTATCAATTCTTAATTTACAACATTGTGCCAACTATCAAAGACAATAGTGATATCGATTTTATTTTTGCAAACAAGTTCTTGAATTGTTGTTTAAACTTCATTGGTTGCATTCATTAAAATATGATTGCTAAGTAACCTTCGGTCAGGTAATTTTAGATATAGAGAAACAAATTGAAATAATTCTTTAATTTTAAGATTTTCTATTCATCTAAATGCAAATTCAGCTGAAATCATAGCTCAAAATACAAGGCATTCAAATTTAGAAACTTCAGAAGTATTAAGTAGTTGACCAACATATTGTGATAACATTGTTTGTTTTTTTAAAAAAGATAAAGTATCATTAGAGGCAAATAATAAATTAGTGAAATGAGTTAATGTTGTTGAAATTGAATTATCATCATTGTCATTTTTTGCATAAAACACTGCTACACATTTTTTTGAGGTTGAAGATATAGCCAAATTGATAATATTTTGTATTTGTTCAGATGAATGTTTTGTAGCAAAATAAGAACAACCTTTAAGATGATCAGCACAATAACGTAAAGTATTTGTAATTTTCATACTTTCATTTTGTAAAGCAAAATCTTTTCCTACTACTTCTATGAGGCTTTACAAACATATTTTCGATTACTTTTATTTGCCTACTTATTTAATATAATATAAAAGTATTTAGTGAGCCAATGTGGTGGTTTTCTTTTCTAACATTGCATAATTTGCACAATAACAAAAATAAACTAAAATGAGAATTAGCATGCACTATCATTAACAATCAATTATTTTTAAGTTTAAAGGTAGATCATAAAGTCTTTATTTTGTATTATGCTGCCAACTAATTTTTTTGTTTTTCTCTGATGCTATGTAATTCAGAAAAAGTTAAACAGCTGCAAATACCTAATTTGGCACACAATCATAGTGGTAGGCCAATAAAGGTTCGATTTTAGTTTACTTGATTAAGGTTAGAAGAGATTACTAATTACAGTAATTTGAGACATATTGTATGATGAAAGTTTATGTGAACTGAAAAAATCAAGATTTTTAAAATACAAATTACTGAATTATGACAAAGTTTAAATGAAATGAAAAAATCAGATATAGGATAGAAAAACAACAGGAAACATATTATTATTTGTAGGAAAAATAATTTACTATATGATTGTTTTTAGCAAACAGACTATTTATAATAGTCTTAAACCATGCTCAGAAGCTTGAAACAATAGTCTATAGTTTTAAATATAGCATGAATTTTAAAACTCTGCATAATTAACTTGTGAGCTACTAAATATATAGAAAAATAACTAATACTATACATGAATACTGGGGAGGGAAAACCTGTAAGTAAAAAATAATGATCTGTATTTAAAATTCGAATATGCGAATCTAACCAATTTGCTTAATTTCTGAAATAAAGTAAATTGATTAAATTCACACATTAAAATCTTAGATACTGATGATAATGTTAAATTATACTTACAGGTTTTCTCTCTTTATTACTTATATATATTGGATTTGACAATAAAATTAATTTTTTTATATGGTTTTTGCTTTAGTCATACACTTGGAGTTATATATATGTGCTTAAATTATTTTTAAAAAAAAGTATTTTTGGCAAACATTTAGGCATTACTAAATTTTTTATATAAAACCCTTCAAAATAACTATACTATATAATGTATTTTAATGAAAAAATTTCAGCAGTAATTTTAGCATATATAAAAATTAAGTTTGACTCTATATAAGACTAATTTCAGCTGTCTAAATACTGTAATTACTTTTTTATTATAGTATTAAGATGGGCAATTTAGGCACACATATATGTATACTTAAAGTAATAGAAGCTCAATTAGCATCGAACATTCACTAGACATTGAAAAATTGTCCGAATTGTTCTATGCAATCTTATTAGACATTGTCTAATGACAACTATAACTGCTCTATATTAGATACTAAACATTGTATAGGACAATTCAGAAATATCTGATGTTCAGTAAAAATCACCAGATATGTAAGTTGCACAATCCTGACTACAAGCACATTAGCAGCAACAACCACAAGCATACTAGCAGCAATAATAGCAAATACATCAGTAGCAACAACAGCAAACATATTAGTATTAACAACAGCAAGCTTACTAGTAGTAACAATATTAAGAATACTAGCAGTAACAATAGCAAAAATACTAGCAGCAATAATAGTAAAAATATCAGCAACAACAATAACAAATATATTGGCTAAAGCAACTGCAAGCCTATTAATAACAAGACCAAAAATATCTACAATAAGAACTAATAGATTAATACAAATAGAAAAAGAATAAGACTTACAAATATATTAAATAAATGATAATAAAAGTAAAGATAATAAAAAAAGTAAGAGTAAAGGTAAAGGTAAAGGTAAGAGTAAAGGTAAGAGTAAAGATAAGAGTAAAGGTAAAAGTGAAAATAAGAATAAGGATAAGAGTGAGAGTGAAGATGAAGATAAAAGTAAAACTAAAAACAAAAATGTAATACAAAAAAAAGATAAAGAAAAACTAAAAAGAAAAGATAAAAATAAAAGAAAAGAAAAGAAAAAACAAAAAGAAAGACAATAAAAAAATATTATATATTTTATTATATATTTCAATATAATGTAATAGTATATTAAATAATAAATTTTAAATTAATAAATATTAAATAAATATTGATTAAAGTAAATTTAAACATCTAATAAATGAATATTATATAATAAAACAATATTTTTTATATATAAAAATATATATTATAATATTTTTAAATTTATAAAATATTATAAACTAATATTTTACAAAAAAGCTAATATTTAACTATTAATAAATAAATATCATTAAATATCATATTAAATATATATATATATATTTTTTTTAAATATTAATGATAAGGCCATGCTTCTATCTTTATTGAATATTTAATTAAGATTTTATATAAAGTACAAGTCTATTTTTAAAATATTATAGAAAGAATAGAAGTTCAAACTAATTTATCTGTGACCTAAATCAACCAAAATGGCCAAGACTCATCTAGATTTGAGTGTTAATAATAATGTATAGGGGATTGGTTTAATATTTAATCTATTGGATATACCAGAAGTTAATTTTAGAACTAATTGAATTAGAAAGAAGAATGTGTAATACAGAAAGAATAGAATTTAATAATGGATTATAATTAGAAAGTTGGGTTGTAGATCTTGAAATATAGTAGTGGATCCAAATTTTGTGATATATTTGTTAATTAAAATAAAGTAAAAACTTTATAGAAAGTGTAGTAACTACTTTTTTGGAAGACAAATTTGCAATAATGTTGATGGGTCATTTGGTATTAAGCCTGTTAGAGTTGAAAAAATTGATGATACATCAAATCTATTATAAATAAACATGCTGTAAAGTAGTTTAATTTGATAGTATAAGTTGGTTATAGTATTAGGTTTAGTATTAAATATATTTGAGTTAAGAGTATATTGTAATGAGATATTAATAAAACTAAGTAGTAGTTAGTTAAATGGACAAGTTGTCCAATGAAGGTGTGAACTAATTTGGTAGCATTGATAACAAATAGGTGAATATGAAGAATATGGAGTAGGAAGTTTATCTGATAGGATTTTAATTCTAAAAGATTTAAGAGTAGAAGACTGAAAGCTGTGAAAAAAGTTTGAGATTTTTTGATTATTGTTAATATAAAGCCAAATGGCTTGCCAGTTAACTTGGTTAAGGATTTTGTGCTATTTTTGAAAATGGTTTTGTGTTATCCAAAGTGTATATATATGTGCATGACATATTGTACAAATACTACAATGAGTAGATAACTCTAAGAGAAAATTCTTGAAAATTAGAGTATAAGCTAAGTTGTAAATATTATAAAATGTAAAAATAAGGTATAGCAGATTGTAATGATTATATGCTAGTTGGTTGACAAGATTGTTATATTTGTTATCTTGATAAGCAGTAACTTTGTAAAAAATAATATGGATATTATATGATTTAATAAAATTGATAAATGTGTTCTATAGTAAGAAATATGGTATATAAGTATATGATATAATTGTTGTTGAGTTTAAAAGACTGTTGTATTTAGAAATTACAGATTGTGAATCTGTATATATGTTTATAGTACAGTTTCTAGAAGCAGTAATAAGAGCTAATAAAATAGCAATAAGCTCTAATTTGAATAAGCAAGGCCAATATTTAGTTTAAGCTTGAAAGGTATGAAGTATGAAATCATTTGAAACTTGAGCTTATCCAATACCTATTGAGCATTGTAAAGTGCTTAAGTTTATAACTAAGCCATCTGTATAAAAATGAAGTTTTGATAAGTTGAAGTTATAATTAGCAATTTGCTAAAGGTTATTTGTAAATGAACTGTATTCGAAGATATTTGGAATTGAGTATATTGTAATAGCAATGTTAGAAGGATTTGGAGTTTGAATAGGATGTCTAATTCCAATAGAATATATAAGATCAAGATGGTTAGTATTAAAGTTAAGAGTTTTGTTGTATATATTGACTTGACCATGAAATTTAGTTAAAATTAATAAAAATAATGATTGTATATTTGTTAGCTATTGTATGAGAATTAAGATAATAGCTTGAACATATATTTGATTGAATAGATAAAAGAGAATAAAGGTAAGTAAATTGTGATTCAATATAACATGTCAGTAAGTTATAAAAACAGTTCCAGATGGTGAAGGCTGTCTTCTAGCTTTGTCAATAATAATTTGATTGTTAAAAACTTTGATAAGCCATGGTTTTTTTTGTAAAGAAAAATGTCCAGTTGTATAACTATAATAGTTTGTGTTAGATAAGTATAAATTTTGATAAAAAGTATAATTGTAAAAGTAACTTGTAACTTAGTTCTCCAAATAGGTAAACCAGAGTGATTGTTTATTTTTGAGAATTTTGTTTATATATGAAGAAATATGTTTCCAGTCTAAAAGGCATAAGTTATCAAATATAATAAGTTAATCTAAATATAAAATGCCATAATATCTAAGTTGTTTCTTGAATGTTATATATTTAGAGTATGAGGAAAGTAGTGATTCAAGTAAGATAGAGCTTTCTTGAATAGTGCATAGAATGTTGTATAGTGGATTAGATGTAAACATTATGCCAAGATATTTAAAGAGCTGAATAATTTTGAAATTAACTGTGTGTTTGTTAGGACTATTAATAATAGAATTATTATATATTAGAATACTAGTAGGTAATCATAAGTTATTTTGAAGTTGTTAGAGTCTAATGCAGATACTTATTTCCAAAAGATCAGGTGAATTAAGTCTTTTGGTAAAGTTTGTAATATGGTGTTGTAATTGAATATCCTTATATTACAAATGTTGTAAAGTTGAGAATAAAGTAGTGTACTTGTAGAAATTGTACAATTGAGTTTAGTCTTATTTTTAACAAGTCCAATATGGCTTGTAAGAATTTTGTTGAATGTGTTTTGATTAAGGATGATGTTTAAAGATGATACTCGATTGTAGAAATAATGACAGTATTAATTATGTATTATGCATATGTATCAGTAATTTGTTTAGTGCTTGCAATTTTAATAAGGTGTAATAGCTTAGCAATAATAAGTTTAGTTTGTTTAAT